TTTACCACCAATCCTTCTCTTTTTTCTGAGGAAGACTGACCCTGAGCTAACATCTGTGCCCATCTTCCTCTACCTTATATGTAGGACACTTGCCATAGCATGGCTTGATAAGTGGTGCTACATCCGTGCTAGGGATCCGAACCAGCAAATCCTGGTCCCTGAAGCAGAGTGTGTGAACTTAACCACTACACCACTGGGCTGGCCCCATCCAACCCTCCTCTTTTTGCTGAGGAATATTGTCCCTGAGCTAATGTCTGTGCCAATCTTCCTCTATTTTGTATGTGGGATGCTGCCACAGCATGGCTTGATGAGCAGTGTGTAAGTCTGTGCCTGGGATCCAAACCCTCAAACCTGGGGCCACTGGAGTGCAGTGCACAGACTGAACCCCTATGCCACCGGGCTGGCCCCAACTCTATTATTTTGAAGGACTTCTGTCAATAAACAGGGAGAAAACATTGAGTGTCTTTCTGTTTTTCTCTTTGTTTGATGCATTTGAAGAATTAGCTCTGACAATTCCCCAGTGAAGCCATATTACCAGTCCTTTGTATGGAGGCAGATATCGGAGGAAGATTGTAGTGTAGTGGGAAATTAACCAAAATGTTTTCCCACGACCAAGTGAAGTGTTAGCTGCTTTTTGTGTTTTTGTTTTAGTTTTATCCTTAGGCTGCGGGATTAAATCTTGTTTCATTGCGCCACCTGCTGGCAACTTCTCAGAATTTCTGTTTCTTCCAACAAAAGGCAAAAGGTGTGTTCAATCAGATTTAACACTTTTGCTTTCGTTTGAAAAACTATCACTCGCAGAGAAATATTTCAACGCTCTTCGTCATTAATAAAACAAAATATTTGATTTCCAAATTTTCAACAATGAGGATATATTACCTTTTTATTGTGACATATAACCTATCAGAAAAGTGCGTAAAATTTTTATGCATAGCTTAAATAATAATTATAAAGAAAATCTGTGTAACTGAGACCCAGGTCAAGAATAAGATTGCCATCACCCTGGATAACACCACGCCCCTCTTCCCTGATCATAAATTTCTCCCCTGCTCTCCGCTAAGGTAACCACTATCCTGATTTTGGGGGTAATCATTTGAGCATGTACTACTTTTATAACCAGAAAACAACTAAGATATTAATTTAAAAAAATAATATGTGAAAATTTTGGTGTCGCTGTTTAGTCTGGAAATTTACATGGTTATTGCTGCTTTCAACAAATGTATATTGAGTTCAACATCATTAGTCATTAGGGAATACAAATCAAACTGTGATGAGATAGAACTTCACACCAACTAGAATGGCTAAATTTAAAAAGACAGACCATTACAAACGTTGGTGAAGACATGGACAAATTAAAACCCTCATATATTATTGGTGGGAATGTAAAATGGTGCAGCCACTTTGGAAAACAGTCTGGCGGTTCCTCCAAAAGTCATGAAGTTACCATCTGACCCAGCAATTCCACTCCTAGGTGTAGTACCAAGACAAAAGACAACATATGTCCACACAAAACTTTGTACACGAACGTTGATCTGTTCATCGTAGCGTTATTCACAGTAACCAAAAAGTGGAAACAACCCAAATGTCTGTCAACTGGTGAATGGACAAACAAAATGTGATATACCGTACAATGGAATGTTATCCAGCCATAAAGCAGAATGACGTACTGATGCATGCTGCCACACGGAAGAACCCTGAAAACATTATGCTACATTAGTCAGTCAAATAAGATCATATACTGTATGATTCCACTTATATGAAATGTCCAGAATAGGCAGATCCATAGAGACAGAAGTAGATTAGCGGTTGTTAGGGAATGAGGATGAGGAGGAAGGGAGAGCGACTGCTAATGGGTCCGAGGTTTCTTTCTGAAGTTATGAAAACGTTCTGGGATGAGATAGTGGTGATGGTTGCACAACTCTGTGAACATACTAAAAACCACCAAACTGTGCACTTAAAGAGTGAATTTTATGGTAGGTGATACATCTTAATAAAGTTGTTGTAAATAATACATAATTTTGAGTGCCTGCTATGTGTCATGCTAGGCACTGGGATTACAATAATGAGAAAACCTAGAGAGGGCTCCCGTTCATACGCAGTATATGTAGTGTTAAATGTTGCATGACACAAAAGATCTTGGGAGATGATCAAAGGAAAGGCTATATCCTGTTAACAACACAAGACTTCCCAATTATTTCTACCTCATAGAATTTTTTTATGATGAAACAAAGCTCCAAATCTCATCTTTCAGTTGAAGGGTTTGGAGGCTGCCGTCTGCCCCCCTGCACCCCACCATCAGGGTCCCTAACAAGGGAAAAGAGGCCTCGAATATGGAATGGAAAGACGAAAGCATCATGTTACACATAGCTTGATTTTTTTCCTGCTTTCTATTTTAGGAAATTTCAAAAGAGTGAAGGAAGGAGGGAAAGAAAATTTTTACTTGCTGAGTATGCATACTGGAAAGTGCAAAAATCATTAAGTACAGTGTAAGAAAGAATTATGAGGTGAACACCCATGTAACTACCACCCAGGTCAAGAAGTAGAAGATCGCCAGCCGCCAGAAGCCCCGCACATGCTCACTCCCAATCGCAACGCCCTTTTTCCCCCAAAGGTAACCACAATCCTAATTTTTATGGTAATTTCTTTGTTTTGCCTGTAGTTTTACCACTTATCTTTGCGTCCCTAAGTAACATAGATTTGTTTTTCCTTGCTTGGAATTTTTATAAGTGAAATTATACTTTGTTGGTTGGTTGGTTTTGATGCTGCCTTCTTGCGCTCGGTATTGTTAAGATTCATCCATGCTGCATGTGACTATAATTCCTTTGTTTTCACTGCTGAGACATTCTATTGTGTGAAAAGCACTCATGCCGTCATCAATACACATTCGGGTCATTTCCTGTGGGGGATTCGAAGACCAATGCAGCAATGGGCCTTCGTGCACATCATCCTGGTATGTAACCAGGAGTCAACCCCCAGGCGTAAGCTTACTCCTGTCTTCAACTCTACCAGAGCAGGCCAAACTGTCTTCCAACGCAGTTCATGCTCCCTAAGAGTTCAATTCTTCCCTGTTTTTGAATTACCTTTGAAAAGTGTATTTCATATGGTTGGCGGTTTAAAAAAAAATCCAAGTGGGTTTTCACGAAAGCTGCTATTGGGCTATTTGAAATGGGGAGATAAGTGCCACTTGCCAGGAAAAGCACTTTAAAGAATTTACCATCTGCTCAGCGCCTCTCAGTTCTCCACTGTTTGACAGCAGCGCAAACATCACCATTTCTACATTTTCCACACATCTTCAACGTGAATAGTTGTTAACTGTTTACAATATGCTTTTACAAATAGTATTTCATTTATCGTAACAATCCTGAGAGGTAAATATCACTATTGTGTATTTGAGAGATGAGGAGACTGAGACTCAGAGAGGCGTAGCTATCCAGATCATCCAGGAAATTACGGTGCAGGTGCTTGTAGCTCAGGTGGTTTCTTTGCATCACACCACAGCTGGGCACCTGAGAGAGTATCTTGCATGGAAAATTCTGTTGCAAACGACTCATTGTAATGAGATCAACAGAGCACTGTATACTCCACAGGCCAGTGTATGTCCTATTTCTTCATTTGGGATTTGGCCGTGTAGCTTGTTTTGGCCAACATTACCAAAGATTTTAAAAGCACATAAATGAACAGATCTGCTCTCTTGCACTTCTGTCATTGCAGTGAGGAAAATATTCCTGATAATGCACTGATCCCAGACGGAGGATGAGAGACGCTTGGTAGAGAGCTGCCCCGGCCCAGGCCGGCCTACATCAACCAACCCACCACTGAGGGAGCTAAAGGGATGTTTATCGCCGTCTGCCCCCAGAATAGGCTGCTGTTTGTTTTACTGCACAAGCGAACTGATACAGTCTGCGATATGGGACTAGATTTGTCATATGGAACCCTTCTTTGGAATGGTACATAGGATCATGAGATTTTCCTTTTTAATGACTTATATTTAGAGGCTACTATTGTCTAAATATTGCCCACCCCTCACCCCCATTCACAAGTTGGAACCCTAACACCCAGTGTGATGGTGCCAGGAAGTAGGGCCTTTGCGAGGCGATTAGGTCATGAGGGTGGAGCCCTCATGAATGAGATTGGTGATTTTATAAAAGAGACCCCACAGAGCTCCCCAGCCCCTTCTGCATGTAAGAATACCACAAGTCTGCAACCTGGAAGACGGCCCTCCCCCGACCATGCTGGCCCCCTGATCTCAGGCTTCCAGCCCCCAGAACTGTGAGAAATCAATTTCTTCTTCATTAGCCTCCCGGTCTGTGGTATCTCGTTATAGCCACCTGAACGAACCAAGACAGGGCCTAGCATTTTGAGCAATGAATGAGATCCATATTATTTGCAACACAATCTCCATTTGATCTCACCTTTTAGAATGTAGTTACTGTTGCCAGATATATGTATATGTGTGCAACAGAGAATGTTCGGCCTGCAAAGCCAAAAACTAGTTGTTATCTTTACAGAAAAGGTTGCGCAATTATAATTCACCTCCTGGCTGTGAGGAAGCGGAGTCGCTTTCCCCAGACAAAAGGGAAGCTAACACGTTTGGAGATCTGCCATCAAGGAGGAAGGGGGCGGCGGGGTTGGTGTTGAATTTCAGTAGCAACCAATAGTGTCCACCACAGGGGACTATAGCCACCCACTCTACCGGCCCCTATTATCATGGCCCAGGACACGTCTGAGATACAGGACAAAGTGCGTATCAAATACAGAGATTATATCAAGGGAGAAAATGAAGGAGGTTGGGGAGGGGGCCAGTTTTTCAACCACTCACCAGACTTGAGAGGTTGAACAAAGTCATTATCTTGATACCTCTTTTGTCATCTTTTGAAGAACCAGAGACAATAAAATTGTCCTTTATTCATCCATCTGTTTATTCAACAAGTATTCATTAAGGATGTATTGGGAACTGTGCTGGTTTTCCAGGGCTGCCGTAACAAAGTGCCACAAACTGGTTGGCTTAAAAAACAGAAATTTATTGTTTCACAGCTCTGGAGGCTGGAAATCTGAAATCACGGAGTCAGAAGGGGTGGCTCCTTCTGGAGGCTCTGAGGGAGGGTCTGTTCCACGTCTCTCTCCCAGCTTCTGGTGTTTGCTGGCAACCTTTGGCATTCCTTGGCTTGTGGCAGCATCATTCCAGTCTCACTTGGCATTCTCCTCTGTCTCTGTCTCTGCGTCCAGATTTCCCCTTTTCATAAGAAAACCACTCATATTGGATCAGAATACACCCTAATGACCTCATCTTAACTTGATCATCTGCAAAGACCCTATTTCCGAATAAGGTCACATTTATAGGTACTGGGGGTTAGGACTTCAACATCGTTTGGAGGAAGACAATTCAACCAATAACAGGAACATGTTTTGAGGCTTACAAGGCCACCACATACTTAAACAGAGCCTTAAAGGAGTGGGAAGAAGCCAAGGAAGGAAAATAGGAGGAAAAGAAGGAAAAATAGAAGAAGGGAGGAGAGAGGAAGAGGAGAAAGAGTAGGACTACGAAAGACAGGGAAAAAACACAAAGAGAGAGACAAAAGTCGGAGGAGGCAGGCAGAGCCAGCTACATAAACTGTGGGCCCCAGTGCAAAATAAAAATATAGGATCCCTTATTTAAAAATTATTAGGAATTTCAAAATGGTGACAGCAGAACATGAAATCAAGCACAAGGCCGTTCTGAGCATGAGGCCCTGTGTGACTCCCCTGTGAGGAGGATTGTACTAACTGGTCTATTTTAAGTCCATTTAAAATTTCCTTGTTTGCTTTTTCATTATTTTTCGGTGTTCTTTGTGAGGTACGTGTGAACCAGTTCATTCTTTTTACAGCATCAGGTCCATTCTTGACTTAGGACCCTTCTAGGATCCTATTTCTCCAAGAGAAAATAGTTTAGGGAGATGGTGGCTACCCAAAAGGGAAAAGCTTTTCACCCTAGCTCCACAGAATATCTGAGCAACTTCCTCAGGATACCTGAGAACCACCTCTCCTTTCCATTGTTCGGATCCTTGATTAGGATTCATAACTCTTGGCAAGGAGGTTTTACTGCCCGCCAGCTTGAGACTGTCTTAGACAGTTTTCCCAGTTTGTCCCTTAACCAGGTCACTGTGATCTAAGTCACCTTCTGCCCCGTCCTCTGCCATCAAAGCAAGTTCAAGAAAACACAATGGTTCTGGACACTGGATTTGGACCCAAACTTCCTCAGCTTGCCATCCAGACCTCGTCACTCCCAGTCTATCATACCATGTTTTAGGACACCATCTCCCAGGTATTTCATCGCATTCTTCCGTTTTAGTCAAGACAGCCTCGAGCGTCGCTTTATACTGTCATTGCTGCTCCAAGACCCTGCCAGGCTTTTCCTACACCTGAACCCCACGGTCCTTCCTCTCTGAGTGTGAACTTTTCAAGGGCAGGGGCCGCATTATATTCATCTTTGAATCTCCAGTATCCAGCACAGTGTACATATATAAAACATAATATGCTTGCCACAAACGTTTATGGAATAAAGTTGAAGAACTGACACGAGGGGCTTCCAAAGCATTTATATATTTATGACACAAAATTACTCTTGATTGTTTGCAGACTTTTTTCTGGCTCTCATTTAATGTATCCTCCTATTGATTTCTTGACTAGGACATACCTTTATGTGCGCGAGAAGCTGTCCTCTATTTTGGTTTTTTATTATACTTGTTTTCAACCTGGGCACACAGGCGTCATTCAAATGTTTCTTTATTGAGTCTTGACGTCTTCCAGAAATGTAAGAATTCATGGGGAAAAAGAAAACTTAGGGACAATCTTCCCTCTCCCTAAAACCTTTAACACACTTGTAAACAAGAACAATCTTATAAAATCTTTTTAAAATCGAAAAGTAAGTTCTCTGTGATCGTATTCTGGTCTTTAAACATCTAGGTTTAGAATTTTGCAGCAGGGCATCCGGGACAGTTTCCAAATTCAGCCTCCCACTGAGCTACACGCGCCTTCGACGCGCCTTCTCCCTCCGCCCTTTCGCCTTTGGAACAAGATTCCGCCCACTTCCGGCAGGGGCGTCGGGAGCGCAGGCGCAACTCCAGGAGCCATTCAACAATCTCCCGGTCCGGCGCTGATGTACGCGCATGCGCAAAAAGGGGCGGGGCTGGCTAATTGCGCGGGAGAATGCAGGCCCACCGAACTCACGCGACTATCTCCGCCCACCTAAATAGGCGGGCGGAGCCGAGAGCCTCCTCAGGGTTCAGGCAGCGCACGCGCACTGAGTGCAGGAACGCGACGAAGGAAGCCTTTACGCATGCTCATTTAAATGAGGCAAGAGGCTTTTTGCGTCAGCTTCGTAATCCGCTTCCTTTCTCTCCTAACCCCCCGTGACTTTTAAAGCGCCAGAGCCCTTTTTCACCAATTTCTTTTTAAAAGTTAAACATTTATTGAGAGCCTCCTGTGTGCCAGGCCGAACTCACACTGTCTCCCTTGTGCGTTTTTCAGTTTTTCCTTTTGTAGTCACTGTAATAAATTACGTTAACGTATGTTTTTGCATAAATTTCCTGCCTCGCGCCATCGGCACCCTTCCCTTGGAGGCAGTTCTCTGAAATGCCAAGCGATGTGGGGTCCTCTGGGCAGGTCTTCCTGGGTCAAGAGGTCCGAGATTGAATCCTGACTCAGCCGCTTCCTTCCCCTTTTACTTCTGTGAACCTAAGGGTTTGCTGATTTTTGGAATGAGGATAAGGATACCAACTTACCTCATAGGGTTGTGAAAAGAACATTTTTTTTTAAAGTATGTAAAGTACCAAGTACTATGTCTCATACCAGCTGTCTATTAAATAGTCGTCATTAAGTGGAATAGTTTTATAGTTTCTGTACTATAGTTCGAAATGGTTCTTCGTGAAGATTTACCTAACTGCCGGGATGGCTAGCAGTATGTAATGGTGCCTCTTTCCCCCACAGTGTTGCCAATATCACAGTCCATAATTTTTACACATTTTTCCTAGTCTAGACGGTATGTAATGGTATGGCAGGGTTATTTTAACTTTCATTTCTTTAATTGCTAGTGGGGCTGTGCATTTTTCGTCGGGATGATTTATTAACTCTATTCCTTTGCCTAACAACTATTTTCCAACACTGTAATTTCCACTGGCTTAGCCTTGCAGACATTATGCTGGGTTCTGACAGAGCATTTTGCTGACCAATTTTAAAAAAAAAGAAAAGAAAGAAAAAGAGGTTTGAGAGAGATATCAAAAGAAACTTTTCAAGGAGCCGGCTCGGTGGTGCAGAGGTTAAGTGCACACGTTCCCCTTTGGTGGCCCCGGGTTCACTGGTTTGGATCCCGGGTGTGGACATGGTAATCCATGCTGTGGTAGGCGTCTCACATATAAAGTGGAGCAAGATGGGCAAAGATGTTAGCTCAGGGCCAGTCTTCCTCAGCAAAAAGAGGGGGATTGGCGGTAGATGTTAGCTCAGGGCTAATCTTCCTGGAGGAAAAAAAAAAAAAAAGCCTTTCCAAGGAAGGGACAGAAGCTCTTCCTCTGAAAGCACCGCGGTCCAGTAGAACTTTCTATGATAAAGGAAATGTTCTGTATCTGCGCTGTCCCATACGGTAGCCAGTTGCCACATATGCCTAGTGAATACTTGCAATGTTGCTAGTGCAACTGAGGAATTGAATTTTTGTTTTTATTTACCTTAAATTTAAATAGAAATAGCCACCTCACTGATGGTATAACCCTAAAGATTAGGAAAGAAGGAGGGAAAGGAGGGGAAAAGAGGGGCCCTACAGAGTCACTCAGAAGTGGCCTCGTATATATGAGGGGATTCAAATTTAGACTTTTGGCATCGTTCCCCAGAGCGTCCCAGAGACTGTCAGTCTTGACAAGAAGGATGTGTTTCGTTTGCAAAAATTTCTACATTTCTATATATATTTTGCACTTCAATAAAAATTTAAACATTTGCCACAGTTTATGTTACTCTCTTTAGTCATTTCTCTGACTTAATTCAACTGAAGTCTCAAAAAAATAAAAGTGGCCTGTGATCCGCTCTGGACACTTGAGGGCCCCTAGAGGGCGCTCATCCTGCATAGGAAACTTCTTAAAACTTTAGTGAGAGAGCATTCTCAGGCCACACAATTCATCCATTTAAAGTATACAGGTCAATGATCTTTAGTCTGTTGACAGAGCTGTGCAACCATCACCACAGTCAGTTTTAGAATATTTTCTTTCTTTCTTTCTTTTTTTGCTTAGGAAGATTCACCCTGAGCTAACACCCACTGCCAATCCTCCTTTTTTTTTGCTGAGGAAGATCAGCCCTGAGCTAACATCTATGCCAGTCCTCCTCTATTTTTTTTTGTATGTGGGACACCTCCACAGCATGGCTGGTGAGTGGAGCAGGTCCGTGCCAGGGATCTGAACCCGTGAACCGAGGCTATCGAAGCAGAGTGCTTGGAACTTTAAACACTTGGCCATGGAGCCAGGCTCTAGAATATTTTCACTGCCACAAAAAGAACCCCCCAGCCCTTTAACTATCACCATCCTACTTCCTCCCCACCCCCCCAAACAACCACTAATCTGTTTTCTGTCTCTATAGATTTGCCTTACCTGGACATTTCTTCTAAATGGAATCATACAATATGTGGCCTTTTGTGTCTGGCTTCTCTCACTTAGCATAATGGTTTCAAAGTTCCTCCATGTTGTAGCATGTGTCAGTACAGTACTCCATTCCTTTTAATGGCTGAATAATAGTCCACTGTATGGATAGACTACACTGTGTTTATCTATTTATCTTTTTTTTTTTTTTTTTTTGAGGAAGACTAGCCCTGAGCTAACTACTGCCAATCCTCCTCTTTTTGCTGAGGAAGACTGGCCCTGAGCCAACGTCCATGCCCGTCGTTGTCTACTTTATACGTGGGACACCTACCACAGCATGGCTTTTTGCCAATCGGTGCCATGTCTGCACCCGGGATCCGAATCGGCAAACTCCAGGCTGCTGAGAAGTGGAACATGCAAACTTAACCACTGTGCCACCGGGCCGGCCCCTCCATTCATCTTTTGATGGACTACACAGGAGAACTCCCTTCACCCCAAGCTGTAAACAAGGTCCTTGAGAGGAGCCCAGCCAAATTCTAGCCATTCAAATCTGGCAAGTAATTATCAGAAGAGTATTTGGGACAGGAGCCCTCAAGCTTGATGCTCCTGGCACTTCAGTATCAGGGAGTGGCCAGTCCATGCCACCTACTCAGGAGTTTGTGATTAATGCTACGACATTCTGACCCCATAGGGAAAATAATCTCATAGATTTGTAACCTGCCCTTTCAGCTGGCCTGCGGATGCAAATATGCCTTGACCCGTCCCAGATTCTTCTCTAGGGGACAGTCCTGCCTTCCCCTGAATCAAGGTCTTATCAGGGTCTGTGAAAAGGCTCCTTGCAGTGGTGAGACTGAGGCTTCAGGCTGTGTCTTAGCCTGGCCTAGGGAGAGAGGAGATTCTAGACCATGTGACACTACTCAACGGGTGGCAGGGCAGCTGTGGACAAAGCCACAAGCCAAGGGACAGTTTGTACCAGGGTAAAGCCTGGCTGGGACTGCTGTCCAGGTACCTGAGGAGGAGAGGAGAATGTTGTGAGGAGAACCACACAGTGTCAGCAGCATGACCGGCCCGAGATGGACTCCAGACCCTAGCTGGGCCCCTCAGGAATTTGGGATTGGAATTCGGAAAGAGCCAATTAATCTCTGTGAGTTACTGGAACCAAGGTGATGGAAGGGACTGCCATTTTCCACCATGAGCATGAGAAAGCTGATTGGCAGAATGAGAAATATGAAGGAGAGACAGAGAGAGAGAGAGAGAGGATGGCTTTGCTGTTGACAGCTTTCCAACACTCTTGCATCCTTAATAAATTTCTTTTATTGGATAGTGTGAGATGGTGTTTCTACTTGCGACCAAAAGAAACTTGGATAAGGTCAGAAGATACATTGTGGAAGTTCTGTGTCCATCAATTACTACCTACTGAGAGAGAAAAGACATACACTTGACAAATTAACTAAAAATGTTGGCGTAAGTGTGGAAATCAGTGCAAAATTCTCGTTCCAATGAGAGTGAGGAGAAAAGCAATGAAAGAGAGCCCACTGGTAATCAAAGAAAAGCCATCAAAACAAGATTTTTTTTCTATGAAATTGGTAAAGAGCTTTAAAAACGATAATACTCAGTGTGGGCAAAGGGCAAACGTGGAGATAAAAACAGACACTCTTCTTTTCTGTGAATGGAATTGATCCAATCTTTTGGGAGGGCGGTTGGGTGCTATATATCAAAACTTCAAAATGTTCATACTCTTTGACACATAATCCTGCCTCCAGGGACTTGTCCTAGGAAATAATTATACGGAAGGACATTCATCAAATCACCGTTTATAATGGGGAACATTGGCTATAAATTTGACGCCCATCAACAGGAGGTTGGTGAAGGAGAAACTCTTTGGGTGTTAAAATGGTATTCTTCAATGTGTTTCAACATGGGAAAACGCTCTGCCGTTCTCTGGGTTGGTTTTTGTACAAACCAGTTTTGGAAAAAAAAAAAAGTATATATAATATTTATATGATTTGTTAAGAAAGTGCTCCCAGGAGAAACTGGTTGATAGACCGGCTGAGTATGGTAGGGAAGAACCAAGTGAGTGCAGCCCGATCCCAGGGGGACTCTAGAGCAAGAATGACTTCAACAAGTGTTCTATGAATCCACTTACGTGAGATACCCAGGATAGGCAATTTCATAGAGACAGAAAGTGAAACAGACGTTACCAGGGGCTGGGGAAGAAGGAACGGTGTGTTATTTAATGGGTTCAGAATTTCAGTTTTGGACGATGACAAAGTTCTGGAAATAGATGGTGGTGACAGTTCCACAATATTGTTCATGGACTTAATGCCACTAAACTGTCTGCTTAAAAATGATTAAAATAGTAACTTTTATGCTAAGTATATATTACCACAATAAACAAGAAAAAGAAAAAAATTACACCTGGGTTTGTTCAGTCTTGAAATCAGGGCCTTCACACTCCTGAGTCAGTCATCATCTACAGGCCACCCGGGAGGGGCATCAATTCCCAGGCACTTCCAGTTCCTTGCCCAAACAGCGAAGTGACTCCAGTAGCTGAGGGACTGTCCTCAGAAGAATGGGAGCTGGGAGAAATAAAGCACATAGAAGCTGGGGGATGAGCACACAGAACTGGTCTGAAAGGACCAAGGTGGGCACCAACTGTGTATTCTCCACCCAGTCGCAGGTCACCTGCACCAACTGGTCAGCAAGTTACATATTTTGGGTATTACTGGTCACCTGATCACACTACTGCATCAATCAGAGTCTAGGTAGAAAACCAAACTCCACTCCAGGTAGGAAATTAGTTACAAAGGTGATGGATACACATAAAGAGCACTAGGAGAAAAGAAGACAGTCCCAATATGAGCAACTGAGGAAGCCACTACTGTACCTAGGATGAGAGGGACAAAGGGAGTAGGTGGGGACAGAGCCCAGGGGCCAGACCAGATGCACCCTCTGCCAGAGACACCACCCACCCAAGGCAGAGAGAGAGGGGAAGGAATACCCCAGCTTCTCCCTTCCTCCTGTCTGCCACTCAGTCTCCTGCCAGTGTCTCCCATTGACTGAATGCAGCTGAAGTGGACTGAGCAGAGGCCCGAGAAATGCAGCCCCCTGCCAAACAGAACAGAGCAGGGGAAGGGCAAAGAAGGGATCTGAGGTCATAACGGCCGATGACCACACTCACCATTCTCCTGTTCAACAAAGACATCCCAAGTGTATGTTAGGTACCAGGACTGTGCTAGTTATTGGGGCTACAGCCTGGAATAAATAGCACAGAGAGAGAACACAGCCTGGGGCAAGACAGAAGTGCTTCTGTACAGCTGGAGGAAACCTCCACCCCAGGAAGACTGCCACTAGCCCATCCTGTATCTTTGTGCAAATCAGAAAAAGTTGTCCCTCCAGGGAGGACAAAGCCCCTGGGGCACACAGCTTGGCAAACAGCTGGGGCAAGCTGCATGCTCCTAGGCGGGGTACTATTTCCACAAAGGCGTCTGGAGCGTCAGCTTGCTCTCTCACAGGAAAGGGCCAAGGACTCCTGGAGCAGAGGTCTCTGAAAGCACAGCCTTCATTAATTCATTTGACAAACATTTATTGAGCAACTCCTAGGGGCCCGGCATTTCTTCTAGGTCCTAGGGAGATAGCAGTGAAAAAAACACAAAAACTTCTCTGACTTCAAATACGGCAACATGTCGATAATAGTTGAATATAGGTAGAGGTTGTAACAGGTGTTTATTGTACTATTAGTTATGCTTTTCTATGTGTTTGAAATTTTTCACTTAAAAGTTGGAAGAAAATCTTTGCTTTCAAAGAGACAGACAATAAATGTACGTGTGTGTGCATGAGCGTGTGTGTGCGTGTGTGTGTGTGTGTGTACTGAGTGCTGAAGAGAACAAGAAACAGGAATGAGGTTGGGAAAACAGGTTGGGAAGTATATATGGAGATTCCAATTTTAAATATGATGGTCCAGAAACTCCTCACTAAGAAGGTGATGTTTGAATAAAGCCTTGAAGGAGAGGAGGGAATGATCCAAGCTGCTATCTGGAGGAAGAAATGTCCTGGCAGAGGGCACAAAAGAGGCAAAGGCCCTGAAGCAGGAACATGCCCAGCCCCTTCCGGGAACAGCAAGGAAGCAAGTGTATGGCTGGAGCCAAGACAGACTGGGTGCTCTATTAGGGGACAAGGTCAGAGAGGAAAGGGGAGGGATGTGGGCAGATGACGCAGGGCTTTCAAGGCCACTGTAGGGACTGTGGCTTTTACTCTGAGTGACAAGGGAAGCCACTAAAGATGTGAGCCGAGGAGTGGAGAGTGTCGTGGGCCGACTTGTGTCTATGTAAAATGCCTGCATCTTTTAGGGATGGAGGAGCTGTATAGCTTCCCTCAGATTCTCAAAGGAGTCTAGCAGACCCCCCACAAGACTAAGAACCCGTGTGATGTTGGTTTTCCCTTCCAATGTTGCCGCTTTATCTTTGCAGCTTAGCAGAAAAGCCTTGAACCCTTTCCTGCCTGCCTCGGGCGTTGCATTTGCCCTGGAGAACCCCAGACGGGTGAGGAGGGCAGTAACCTCCCCGGGCACACTGTGACCCACGCTCTGCAGATAGCAGGCTCCCGGCTCGCCCACCTGCCTTTGGCCACCAGACCGGTGCACCAGCCGGCAGTCGACGTCCACAGGCCCGAAGACGTCCTCGCCCGACGGCGGAGGAGCTGCACCTTCCCCACCCGCGGACCGGCGGGCGCACTCTCCGCAGGAAGGGGCGGGCACTACCGGGCTGCTTTGCTGGGGCCTCGCGTTGCCATAGCGACCCCGGCCAGGCCCGGGACGCCGGAGCGCGCGCTGCTCCGGCAAGTGAGGCTGGAGGCTGCGACCCCACAGCTCCCGCCCCCGGGACTCCGGATCCCGGCTCCGCCCCGCGGGATTGCGCAGGTGAGCGAGCGCAGGTGGGACGGGGCGGGGGCTCGGGGCCAACTCCCAGCCGTCTGGACCCCGCCCGCCCCACCTTCCATTGTGGTAATTACTGTTGTTCAGTAACAAAGCAACCCCGGTAGAGTCCCTGCACCGCACTGCAAGGCTTTCTTTTCCTATCAGAAGCTCATGTGTTAGGTCCGCAAGCTCCTTTTGAGTAAAACTTATGTTCCTGAAAGTATGAGACCGAGGATGATTTTATATTATACTGATGAGGCATTAACACCCAGTGACATCTAGGAGAGTTACTAGGTTCTAGGTTCTCTTACAATTCTGAGTAAGCCAAGGAGAAAGTGTCAGTTTGGGGCTAATATGGCATTAACACCTGAACATTTGCTAATCTCATCTGTAAGCCACAATATCTGGCTAAGCCGTAAGGTGATTTCTTTCTAGTATTTTTATTTTGACAGTTACCTTCCCTTTAGGATAACTGATACTGATTTTCCATTTATAGTAATGATATGTCAAGTCTCTTTCTTGGATAAATGTATTGATTTTTTAAAGTGAATTAACAAATATAAAAATTCATCATGGTACAACAGTTCTTGGAAATGGGAGAGAAAAGAAAAACATTAAATTTAGGACCTGTTTTCCCCCTCCTACCTTTTGCCCTTGCTGTTTTCTTTGCCTGGAGCGACCTTCCCTATTCCTAGGCATGACTGTCAAAGCATGTGCCAACTAGTGTGGTAGGTCAGCCTGCTCGGGCTCCTGGAGGCCCCCGCTGTAAAGCAGCAGAAGGAATTCCTTGATGGGCGAGGCCCAGTGCAAAATGAACATGTGGGGCCCTTGTTCATAAAGTATTAAGAATTGCAAAATGGTGACAGCAGAGCAGTAAACCAAGAGTGGGCCCTTCTCAGCATGGGGTCTTGTGCAGCTGCACAGGTTGCACACCCATGACACTGACCTTGGATGGGTAGATGCTGGGACACCATGATCTCTGGAACCTGCTCGCCCTGAGGTCATTCTGGTGGCCAATACCTTTGCATGCTGATGTTTAAATACTTCATGCTGGGGCCGGCCCCAGCCCCGTGGCTGAGAGGTTAAGTTTGTGCACTCCGCTTAGGCGGCCCAGGGTTTCACTGGTTCGGATCCTGAGCGCTGACGTGGCACTGCTCATTAGGCCATGTTGAGGTGGCATCCCACATGCCACAACTAGAAGGACCCACAACTAAAATATACAGCTATGTGCTGGGGGGATTTGGGGAGAAAAAGCAGAAAAAAGAAACAAACAAAAAAACCCCAAATAAATACTTCATGCTAGGCCCTGCGGCAGCACTGCTGGCACGTGTGTGTGTGTGCGTGTGTGTGTGTGTGTATTCCCCAAACCTATTAGCAGGATAGATAGTATTTGTTGAGGGGAAACAAGGATCCCCAAGATTGGGAGGAGACCATCCTATCACCTTGCACAAGCCCCGTGGAGACAGACAGACAGGCATGAATGTCTCCACTGGAGATCCTGAGGACATGGAGCACAGACGGGGTTCCCAAACTGGGCAGAGGCCCCAGACCACCCAAAGTCTCTGCAACCCCACCAGGCAGGATAGGAGGAGAGCCCTGGTGATGAGGCAGACAGGTAGAGTACCCAGGCAGAGGGCAGAGGTAGAAGGGTGACCAACCATTCTGGTGTGCCTGGGACTGTCCCAGTTTTAGCACTGAAGAGTCCAAGGTCCCAGGAAACCTCGCAGTCCTGGGCAATCTGGGACAGTGGTCATCCTAGAGGCAGTATCTTTAGTTGATGGACTCTCCTGACAGCTCAGAAACCCCTGCAAAGCCTGTCCCTGGGCTTTTCTCCCATCCTGTCTGCCAGACAGATGAGGCAGGACCAAGGGGGCTAACATGTTGGGTGCTGGGCTGCTGGTGGTGGGAAGGTAGCCCTGTGGGCTGTGCCATAGCAGCTGGATGTCAGCCTAGCACAGCCTGGCTACCCACCTCTCCCCCGGAGTGCATCCCAGTGCTCACCAGTGGGGGTTCCAGGCAAGCTCTAGCCTCAGACCAGCATCCACTCTGATTGGTCACACTGGTTATTAAATATGTGACTGCTGGGGCCGGCCTGGTGGCATAGTGGTTAGGCTCACATGCTCTGCTTCAGTGGCCCAGGGTTCACCAGTTTGGATCCTGGGTGCAGACCGACACACGGGTCAAGCTGTGTTGTGGCAGCATCCCATATACAAAATAGAGGAAGATTAGCACAGATGTTAGCTCAGGGCCAGTCTTCCTCAAGTGAAAAAAAGAGGAAGATTGGCAATAGATGTTAGTTCAGAGCCAATCTTCCTCACCAAAAAAAAAAAAAAAGTGACTGTCACCCTGCCTGGGGGCAGCTCATCCCAATGCCATCACAAAACCCCCTGCTCTACTGGTTTCCTGGGTTCCCAAGCAATTGTGCCATCAGACCCGCCCCCCCAGGGGCCCCTGGAGAAGCAAGAGAGGGGCATCCAAGGTTAATTCAGCACAAAAGGGTCTTCCCAAGGGCTGCGCATCTGCCCCAGGGACTCACAACACACATGACTCACCCCATTTAAGCTCAGACAGGTGTCTCCCCGGGAAGGCCCAGGATCCTGGCATTGTGCAGGGCACAGTGAGCCCCTGATGTCCCTAACCCTTTGCCAGCACCCTTTGGCCCCACAGAAGCAACCAACATGCCTATCTCCAAGTGCCTGCTGAAGTCGGAGCCCCTGTGGAAGGAGTGGGACCAGAAAGCCCAGAAGAACGGACTGAGGCACCAGGTATATGCTGTCAATGGCGACTGCTATGTGGGCGAGTGGAAGGACAACATGAAACACGGTGAGTGGGGGACCCTCAGGGGTTCAGGCGGTGAGGGTGGGGTCTGGGCCTTGGTGGGTGACCGGAGCCAAGAAAGCAGCATGCAGAGTCCACTGGGGACATAAGATGTATCCCAAGGCTCACCTAAGAGGTGAATGCTAACTCGGAGCAGCCAGGGGCCTCCTTATGCTGAGGCTCTCAAACAGAACTCAAGCCTGACCTCTGCTGAGCAAAGGGCTCAGGGACCAGATAGGGGCAGAGTAGTCTTGAGATACCAGCCACAGCTGGGGCTCTGGGGCCTCCAGCTCAGTCCCTACCCTCTGAAACCTGGGCTCAGCATGGGGTAGCTAGCAGGAGGAAAAGGTGGTGCCCCAGAAACCAGAAACCAGCTGGCAGCTGGAATTCTGGTCTTCACTCAGCCCTGACCCCGTTCTGCAGAAGGCTCAGCCTGAGGTTTGACCAGCAGGGGGCGAGGGAGGATCCCCAACTCCCCCCACCCCCCGGAAGAATCTGGGGCTCAGACTTTAACTGGGCTGAGCTCTGGGCCTAACCAGCAGGGAACACAGGCGTCTTTGTGAAACAAACTAAGCCCTGAGGAAAAAAAAAGAGAATTTGCAAAAAACGGCGCCATGGCTTCTCACTCCACTCTTGCAATTCCAGAGTCTATGCTCTTAACCACCCTTCTCTCCTGCCTAAGTGCTTTGGAGTCCATAAACCTGGGTCAGAGTCCCAGCTCCACCCACTAAGACCCGGATGAACCACCACACCACTCTGAGGCTGTCTCCCCATCTGTAAAATGGGAATGATACCTATCTGTAAAGATAAAAGATGACATCTGTCAAGCCTGTAGCCCAGGGTCTGTGCAGGAGGGGAATTGCTAGAATGTTCTCTGAGGGGTGAGCACGGCAGGGATCACTACTTAGAAACCTCCTTGTCTAAGAAGCCCACCAAAGAGCTGCCCCCATCAAGTGTGTGACACAACGTCCGCCCTCAGCACTGACTTAAAGGCCAGGCTTTATGCGGCTGCTCAGAGCTCTGTGTGTGGTTAAAGATGCCTGCCTGTGTACTTCAGTCCTTGTGGGCAGCATGTGGTGTGGACAGAGCCCTGGACTAGGAGTCAGGATCCTGAAGTTCTGAGACTGGCTCTACCACTGCATACCACATTTCCCATCCCCTGGATCTGGGCTGCCTCACCAGTGATAGGGCACTGTGGGCTGACGTGGCCCTCCCAGCCCTCCTTCTGTGTGAGTCCTGCCTCCCCTCCCTGGACCCTGGAGACATAGAGCTCAGCGGGCTGGGGCTGCAGAAAGCAGACCTGTCAGAGAATCCAGACCTACCCATCCCCGCTTCAACACTCACCTTTTGACCAAACTGAAGTGGGTTGCTGTGGGGTAAACAAACTAGAAGCAGTGAGGAGAGTCATCATGTGGGGCGAGGATGGGGTGGCCCCAGTGGTTCCCAGACTGCTCATTTATTCCCTCTGCTAAGACTCACGGCACTCCTGGTCCATGCCAGGCCCTGGGCTGGGCATCTGGCATAATCCCAACCCTCAGGGAGCCTCCAGTCCCACGGAGAACCTGTATAGTAGGTAACATCCTGTTTTACAGATGAGGAAACCGCGGGCTCAGAGAGAGGAAGTGACTTACTCAAGGTCGCTCAGCTAAAAGTGGTGACATCAGGATGTGATGGAGACATGAAAGGGGCTGTGAGAACACAGACAGTCAGAGAGGCGATGTTCGAACTGAGCCCAGAAGGATGAGTCTTCTAGATAGGGCAATCAGAATGGAGGATGCTTTGGAGTATTAAATCTTGTTCAAGGAACAGACTAGAAGCTGGTATGGCCGGAGCAGAGTGAGCGAGGGGAGAGAGTAGGCAGGTTAGGAGAGCCAACCATATAGGGCCTCACACGCCATGGTAAGTTTTGTCTTTGTCTTGGAGGTAGTCTCACCGGACCAGCTTGGGTCACATGCCCCTCATTGAACCAATCCAGCGGCCTGGGTGGGTAGAATACACTGATTGGCCAGGCTTGCCAGGAGGCGGAGTCAGCCCCACAGCAAACCTCAGGGTGCTGGGAGCTGGTTGTCCAAAGGAAATCAAACTGGAAGAAGGACAGGTACAAAGGAGGGAATGTGCCCTACCATGCGACTGGGCCCTACCTCCAGGGCAAAAATAGTTGATATCTTTCCTATTTGTAGGCACTGTTCTGAGTCGTCTACGTATATTAATGAATTTAGTGATCAGAACAACACCATGAGATATTCTCATCCCCATTTTACAGGCCAGGAACCTGAAACCCAGAGAGTTAAGTTACTTGCCCGAGATCAAAAAGCTCACAGGGACAATGCTGGATTTGTTCCTGAGCTACTAAGGACCAAGACATGAATTGGCCCGTATACGTACTCCACAAATATTTTTTTTTAAATCATTTTTTGACTGACACTATATTTTTTCTTTTTAAAGATTTTATTTTTTCCCTTTTCTCCCCAAAGCCCCCCAGTACATAGTTGTATATTCTTAGTTGTGGGTCCTTCTAGTTGTGGCATGTGGGATGCCACCTCAGCATGGCCTGATGAGCGGCACCACGTCCATGCCCAGGATCCGAACCAGTGAAACCCTGGGCTGCCGCAGTGGAGCGCACGAACTTAACCACTCAGCCATGGGGCCGGCCCCCCACAAATGTTTTATTCATCTCTTTGTTCAGGAAGTGTTGGTCACCTACAACGTGCCAGACACTGTTCTTCAGCCCTGGGAGTAGAGCATTGAACAAAACAGACTGAAGTCCGTGCCCTCCTGGAGCACACATTCTCCTGGAAGAGACAGATGAGGAAGAGACAATAAACCATAAATAAGTAAATTATTATGTTAGGAGTTGATAAGAGATATGGAAAGAAACAAAGCAGGATAAGGGGGCAGGAGAGGCTTGTCATTTTATTTTTTATTTATTATTGTTATTTTTTTTTTAGGAAGATTAGCCCTAAGCTAACATCTGCTGCCAATCTTCCTCTTTTTGCTGAGGAAGACTGGCCCTGAGCTAACATCCGTGCCCATCTTCCTCTACTTTTATACGTGGGACGCCTGCCACAGCATGGCTTACCAAGCTGGTGCCATGTCCACACCTGGGATCTGAACCGGCAAACCCTGGGCCACCAAATCGGAATGTGTGAACTTAACCACTGTGCCACCCGGCCAGCCCCAGAGGCTTGTCATTTTAAATGGGATGGTCAGGGTAGGCCTCATTGAGGAAATGAAATTTGAGGAAAGATTTGCAGGAGGAAGGGGGTGAGTGGATATTTGGGGAAGAGTGTTCCAGGCTAAGGGACAAGCAGGTACAAAGGCCCTGAGGCAGAAGCCTATCTGGTAGGTTCCTGGAACGGCATGGAGGCCATAGTGGTTGGAGGGCAGTCTGGAAGGTGGGAGTGGAGGACATAGAAGGGGCTGGAGTACGAGGAGATGAGTCTCCACGTATGTTCAGAACTGAACAAATATGCAGAACATTTTCTAGAAACCCTGGCCATCTGGCATATCCATTCAGTATTATTCATTCCATTCAGTATTATTAAGAGATGCAGCTAAAATGCTAAAGGGGCAGATTTCTACTTGGGGTTTGCTATATCAGTCTGGCTTCAGGGCAAAAGGCTGGAGAACCACTGTTTGTAGAAATGGAACTCCCTCGGAGTTTTCCTGGGTGCTGGGGGTCTAGAGATGAGGCATAGACCCGGGACCCCGTCTTTGGGGATTGTCCAGTCTAGGAGCCCTTGACATCCAGGCAGACACAGCACCTGCCTCTACACCGCCCACACCCCCCAACTCCCCAGCCCCATGGAGGCCACATCTGAAGTGCTGGCCCATCCATGTGTCACCAGGGAAAGGCACACAGATCTGGAAGAAGAAAGGAGGCATCTATGAGGGGGACTGGAAGTTTGGGAAGCGAGATGGCTATGGCACCTTCAGCCTTCCTGACCAAGAGACCGGAAAGCACAGGAGAGTCTACTTGGGCTGGTGGAAAGGCGATAAGAAATCAGTGAGTGGTTCCCATCAGGACCTGGGGTGTGGGCCGGGCAGCGTGTGTGTGTGTGTGTGTGTGTGTGTGTGTGTGTGTGTGTGTGTGTGTGGAGGGGGGAGCAGTCAGAGAGGCCTGGGTGAACAGGGGGAGACCTGAGGGGAGGAGGACAGGGTTGTTGTGTGGGTGAGAAAAGGAAGGGGTGGGGGAATCGTGAAGGCTTCTCAGAACAAAACCCAGGAAACAGGAAGCAGGAGGAGAGGGCCCAGGGAGGAGCCCTGAAATGCACTGCTGCTACAAGAAGGCCACCAGGCTGTGTGGGGCAGAGTCTCCTCCCCCCCATACCCACTCATTTCCTGGCTTTCTTTTCCCTGGGCATATCTTTCTGAGAATTCCCCTTCTGTTTGGCCTGGATAAGAGGGGGAGGAGGGTAGGAAAAGTGGGAGCAAGAAAGTTGAGGCCACACCCTTGACCACAGGACAAGAGAGGAAGGTCCTAGGGGTAGAAGCCAGCCAGAGGCATGTCCCCAACCCATAAACACCCAAATCCTCACCATAAGCCATGGAAACAGTTAATAATACAGTATTGCTATTGAACAACTGCTATTGTGACCCTGAAACATGATATATAGTACTTCAATTAACTCTCATAACAACATCATCATCATTATTATTATGCTCATCATCATTCCCATTTTACTGATGTGGAAACAAGCTCATAGAGGTAAAGTCCCTTGCCTGGAGCTATAATGCAGACAAGTGGTAGAGCCCAGGATTTCATGATCTCTGCTCTCAAAATGTTTATTGGCCAATGGGGACAAAGATCCCAAAATAAACAGTTTACATATAATATGATGTTAGGATAGAGGTTTTCACAGGTAGCCCAGAAGAAGGTCATTGGGAATTCAGGGCAGGCTTCCTGTAGGAGGTGACACCAAAAGATGCAAGGAGTTAGCCAGGAGGAAAAAAAAGGAGAAGGGGAAATAGCAAAGGAGGCATAAGTTGCAAAGGGAAGGAGATATTAAACAGCAGGGTGTGTATGCCCACAGGGCTGGGAGTGAGGGGAGGAGCAGGTGGGGGCCTTGAAGGTTATGTGGGGACTCAGGACTTTAAGAGGTAGGCTTGGCTGCTTACCCAGCCTCCGCAGGTGCAATCCGTGGACAGTCCATGAATCCCTGTGGTTGGATGCTAGGTGTGTTTATGTTCTTTTTTTGTGTGTGAGGAAGATCAGCCCTGAGCTAACATCTGCCGCCAATCCTCCTCTTTTTACTGAGGAAGACTAGTCCTGAGCTAACATCCGTGCCCATCTTCCTCTACTTTATATGTGGGATGCCTACCACAGCATGGCTTGCCAAGCGGTGCCATGTCCGCACCCGGGATCCAAACCGGTGAACCCCAGGCCGCCGAAGCAGAACGTGCGCACTTAACCGCTGCGCCACCGGCTGGCCCCTATGTTCACTTTTTTGAAGAGAAAAGTCCGTAGCTTCCATCTGATTCTCAGAGGCATCTGTGACTTTTGATGGGCTCAGTTGAGAGCTGGGGAGACGGGGCAAAGCTGATGGGATGGGCGATGTAAAGATTCCTCTAGCTGCCGTGTGGAGGATGCATGGGGTGGGGAGAACGGGAGAGTGGAGGAGGGGGACCAGGGAGGGAGAGGAGAAATGACGGTGGCTGCATGACGGCTGGAGCAAGGGGGATAGAGGGCCGTGGACAGCCTGGGGAGATTCTTCAACGCACGGCCATCAGCTTGGCTGTAGGACTGAGGAAGGAAGCGAGGAAGAAGCCCGGAGTGTGGCTTGGGCGCCGGGGAGGGTCATGGGTGCGCCCTGAACAGGGACACCTCCGTGCTTTCAGGGCTATGGGATCCAGTTTTTCGGACCCAAGGAGTATTACGAGGGTGAGTGGTGCGGCAACCAGCGCAGCGGGTGGGGCCGCATGTACTACAGCAACGGCGACATCTACGAGGGCCAATGGTGCAAAGACAAGCCCGACGGAGAGGGCATGCTGCGCCTGAGTGAGTGCCCCGCCTCCCCACTCCACCCCGCCCGCCTGCTGGCCCCGCCCCACCTGGCCCCGCCCTCACGGCCGCGCTCCTCCTGGCCCCGCATGACCGCACCCTCGTCTGGCCACGCCCCCTCTGGCCACGCCCCCGCGAAGCCCCGTAGAGGTGAACGGGAGGACCAGATCCCTGCCCTAAGGGAGCTTATACTCTAAAAGGGAGGCCTAACAAAAACACATAGACAATTAAGACAGTTTCTTATGGCCATGATAATCATAGCCTGCACTTAACAGCACTGAGCCCTTTTTTTCTTTTTGATGAAGATTAGCTCTGAGTTAAAATCTACAGCCAATCTTCCTGTTTTTTTTTTGCTGAGGAAGTCTGACCCTGAGATAACGTCCTTACCCGTCTTCCTCTATTTTATATATGGGGCGCCTGCCACAGCATGGCCTGACAAGCAGTGCATAGGTCCACACCCGGGATCCGGGCCAGCGAACCCCGGGCCGCTGAAGTGGAAAGCGCGAACTTAACCAACTTAATTAATCACTGCCCACCAGGCGGCACCAGCACTGAGCCCACTTAGTCCTCACTACAATCCTAGAAGATAGGTACCCTTATCCTCGCTTTACAGATGAACTGAAGCACAGAGAGGATAGATCTCTCGCTCAAGGTCACACAGTGTGTTAGTTGTGATGTCAGAAGTGCTGAGGAATTTCCCCCTTGAAAACAGGAAGATGAGCTGGAGGATGACCAAGGAGTTGGAGACAGCGGCTATGTACATTGACTCACATCAGGAATGCCTCCCTGAGGAGGTGACGTGTGAACTGAGACCCAAAGGAAGAGAAGGAGCGGGATATGCATTGAGCTAGGCAAGAGCATTCCCAGGCAGAGGGAAGAGTGCTGGGAGCCCGCACTGGTGTCAGGATTCTCTGCACAGCAACCAGAGTGAGCTTTTTACAAAGTGGACCCTGTCGCCGCCCTGCTTTCAAACTTTCCATAGGTTCCCATTGCCCTCAGACTGAGTTCAGAGCCCTGACTGGGGTCTGTGGGCCCAGCATGATCTGGCCCTGCTGCTCCCTCCAGCTTTGCCTCCCACCCCTCTGCCCCCAGACTCCCTTGGTTTTGGCTATACTAACTTTCTTTCAGTTCCTCCCACATATTCTGCCTCAGGACCCTTGCACTGCTGCTCACTCTTCCTGGAACAGAAAGAAGATCCCCCAGATATTTGCATTGTCTCCTCCTCAGAGAGGTCTTCCCTGTCCACTCCACCTGGAGCACATTCTCCCCATTATTCTCAGCACCTGCTTCCTTTCCTTCTTAGCACTACGTGTATAGTCCTGGGCAAGTTACTTCACGTCTCTGTGCCTCACTTTCCTCACTGTACAATGGGAATAATAATCGTACCCACTTCATAGGGCTCTAGTGAGGATTAGATGAGGGAGTCTGTGTAAAGCGCTTAGAACAGGGCCTGGCACCGGTAGGCTCTCTATAAAGCTAGTATCATTGTCCCTCCAGACTGAGCTGCATGAGCACCGGGACTGTGTTTTGTTTCCCACTGTTTCCCCAGTGCCTGGCACATAGTAGGTGCTCTTGGTGAGTACACAGACCAGAGCCCAGTCTCCTGAAAACTCAAGCTTCCAACTCCCAGTGAGATTCGGTCAAGTGGAGGCTTTGGGGCGCCTTGACTAATGGCTTGGACTCTAGAGCCAGCCTGCCTGGGTTCAAGTTCTTACTAGCTGTGTGACCTTGGGCAATTTGCTTAAACTTCCTGCTTCAATTTTCTCATCTGTAAAGTAAGGATAAAAATAAACTTTAGGGTTGTTGTGAATGTTAAATGAGGGTTCCATTTGCAAGGTGCTTAGCATGGTGCCTGACACATGACAGTAAGTACTCCCTGATAATATCACTAGCTCTCACTTGTCTGTAGCAGGGGGCCGCAAACTATGGCCCAACACATGTTTTTATAAATAAAGTTTTATTGGCACATAGACTTGCTCACTTACATATTGTCTGTGGCTGCTTTTGCACTGCAATGGCAGAGTTGAGTAGCTATGACAGAGACCCTATGGTCTGCAAAGTCGAAAATACTTACTGTCTGCCCCTTTACAGAAAAAAATTTGCTGACCTCTGATCTAGAGTCTCTCCAGGACTCCTCTAAGTCCTTGCTGGGTATCGACTCATTTAATCTTCACAAACATTCTGTGAGGTAGATGTTACCATTATCCCCATTTTGCAAATGAGGAAATGAGACGAAGTGGCTAAGTGACCTGCCCAAGGCCACAGAGCTAGTAAGTGTCTGCACTGAGAAGTGTTAGCTTTCTTATTATTTTTACACCACTACCACCATCACATAGGCAGAATTGATTCCCGATTAAGGGCATGAGCTCCTGGGATGAACAGGCCTTGGTTTCAGATCCTGCATCTGCCACTTCTTAGCTCTGTGACTTTCTCAAGCAGGTCAGTCAAACTCCCTGAGCTTTTCAAGCTCCATCTGTAATTACGATGAGGTCTGTCATCCTTCATAGAACTGTTTTTGTGAGAAGTGAGGTCAGAAGCATAGCAAAGAACCAGGCACAGGAAGTCCTGAAGAAACATCGCCTGCTCGTATTATTAGCTGTATTTCTTACAGATAGGAAACGATGCTGAGTTGGTTGTCCAAGTTCAGGTAAGCAGTGGAGGGAAGATGTGAACCAGGTCTGATTCAGGAAGTCGCTGACACCCCAGGGCTCTAAGGCTATAGGTCAGTCGTCCCAGACCCCACTTTACCCACCCAGCTCAGCACACTCTAGTCAACTTGGTTCCTTCTGGCTTCCTGGTGGGCATAGTGTCTAGCCCGGGAGTGGCAGAGGGTCCGGCCTGGGCATGGGGGAGGGGCGCGCCTGGTAGTCCAGCCTGGTTTGGGGTCCCCAGCACCCACGCCTCTCTGTCCTTTCCTGCAGAGAACGGGAACCGCTATGAGGGCTCCTGGCAGAGAGGCATGAAGAACGGGTTTGGACGTTTCTTCCACCTGAACCACGGGCAGCTCTTTGAGGGCTTCTGGGTGGACGACGTGGCCAAGTGTGGCACGATGATTGACTTTGGCCGTGATGAGGCCCCTGAGCCCACTCAGTTCCCCATTCCTAAGGTGGGCAGCTCTCTCTAGGGCCCTGTGGCCACACCCAGAGAGAGACAGAAGACAGCACCCCACTCCCGACCCCCACCCCCACCCCCCGCCGCCACACCCAGCCTGGCCCAGTCTAGCCAGGAAACAGACAAGGTTTTATTTGTTTTCAGTTAGGACGTTCCCAGGGAGGCAGGCAGCACCCCCCAAAGTAGGTAGCACCTCCCCAAGGCAGGCAGCACCCCAAAGGCTTGCAGCCTGGGCTTCCCATGCTCCCCAAACCAACCCCTGCTGCTTCCCTCCAGGTTAAACTTCTAGACCCCGACGGTGTGCTGCAGGAAGCCTTGGCCAGGTTAAAGAAGACAGAGGAGGAAGAAGGAGACTGATGCCAGGTGAGGGGGCAAGCACGCCTGCCACCCTCTGATGTGGTGGGGCAGCTCCAGGGCTCTCCTTTGGCCAAGGAGCTCAGGGGCAGGACCAGAGAGGGTGGGTTTCTTGACTCCTGCAGTCCAGCTGGTCCTTTTTGGTTCCTCCCCTTCAAAACTCATTTCCTAGAAGATCAGTTCATTCCGGTCCCGCCCAAATTGCACCCTCGGCTTGCTGGGATGAACGCTGGATTGGACCCAGGTGGCCTGTTCACCCCTGAATGCCCTTGAGTGAGGTGGTCTGTCCCGGCCTTCCCTTGCACATCTGTCCAGGGGGCCTCGTCCAGTCCTAAACTCTCCTGGGGTGGGTATAATGAGGTTCGGGGAGAGGGCATTGGCACAGCGTCTTTGAAACGCCAGCTCCCACCACCCGCTTCCTGCTGCAGTGAGAACACCCAAGCTTTGGAAGAAATCCAAGCCCACGTCACCTACTGCTCAGACCGGTGCGGCTCCTGTGGAGGAGCGAGGGGGACTCCAGGTACACCCCTGGCACCCTCCAAGGGCACCTCATTCCTCGCAGCACTGGATCATTCTTTGCCCATATGGCCAGTGCTTCTCTCCCCGGCTGGCCTTGGGGACCCTCTTGTTACAGCCCTTCCTTCTAGGACCCCATCTCTGAGTGCATGAGAATAAAGGAGAACCTGGGGGCGTTAACCTGGGGCCTGTGCTGTGTGGATGGGCAGGGCCGGGGTGCGGGTGCTGGCATCCGGAGGGGTTTCAGGTAGAGAAGAGGGAACACATCCCATGGGCTGCATGGACTCCCCTTGGGAGAAAGGGGCGGCGTCTCCAGGTCTCTGACCTCCCAGATACACCAGAGGAGAAAGAGCCTGCTTCTGGGCGCACTGGTCTCAAAGATTTGGGGTTAAAACCTGACCTGGCTTCTTAACCTAACACAGAGACTCTCAACCTTGGAATCCTGCAGGAGCTTTAAAAGCTGTGGATGCCCAGGCCACACACTCAGAGATTCTCATCTATCTGGGGGGAGGCCTGGGCCTTCGGGGTTTCCCAGGTGATTCTAATGTGCAGCCAGAAGCCTACGTACTGGCTGTGCCACCCTAAGCAAGTGACCTCAGTTGCCCCATCTGTAAAATGGGACTTAGATTTCTCAAGCGGTTTTGAGGATGTGCTAACAGATCTAACAATAATGAGCACCGTGTATTGAGTTAATTGTGAAGCAGGTGTCTGGGAAGGGCTTTTTACATAATTCTAACCTAGACAACCTTCCTGTGCGATAAGAGGGACTCTTACACAGTGGGTAGGAACGGGAGCTGTGCAGTCCCACTGCCCGGGTGTGAATCCCGGCAGAGATTTCTTAACTGTGTGTTCTTGGATATATCAACCAAACTCTAACACGGGACAATAATGGTGCTTCCCACCCATGGCTATCATGGTTACTGTGAGGATGAAATAAGCGTGGTTCTAATTCAAGGGTGATTCTGTCCCCTTCCCTCCCCAGGATCATTTGGTGATGTCTGGAGACATCTTTGGTTGTCACAACTGGCAGGGAAGAATGCTACTGGCACCTCATGGGTAGAGGGTGAGGATCCCATTAAACGTGCTACAATGTAGACACTCTACAGGAGAATTATTCAGCCCAGCGTCAATAGTGTGACCTGAAATACTGTGATGTTCGGAAAGTGCTCACCAAGTGCTTGGCACGTTGTAAAAGCCTCAGTAAACGCTCCCAGACACTATCGAGGTTCTCTCTGCCCTCTAAGTCATAAGCGAGGTGGCCTGACCCAGGGCCTGGTTCTGTCTGTACCTCTGATACCAAAAAGCTGAGCCTGGCCACCTTGGGACACAGAATTAACCAGATACAGTGCTCACTTGGTGCCAGGCCCTGTGCTGACAGCTTTACGTGTGTCCTCTCCCATGCCTCCCTATCAACGTATGAGGTGTCCTACTATTATTAGTGCCACTTTAGAGGAGAAAACCGAGGTTCAGGGAAGTTCACAAGTCACCAAGCTAGAAAGTGACGGTACTTAAAATCAGGTGTGTAGAGAAGGCTACCATTTCTCAGAGAAAGTAGGGGGTGTGTGCGCTTGTTTATGTATAAAATCTCTCTAGATGGGAACACAATAAACTGGCAACAATGGTTGTCTCTGGGGAGAACTGGGACCCTGGGAACGAGAGCGAGAACAACTTTTCACTGTTGTATCTGGAACCGTATGAATGTATTGTCTATTCAAAATATAAATGAAACTGAAATTAGAGAGAGACTGTGTTCATAGCTACCAGTGTTTCTCTAAGTTGCCTGGGTTTGAGAACACCTGGAGTGCTTGTTAAGACTACAGATTGCAGAGATGCACCCGATCACAGTGAATCAGAACCTCCAGGGGAAGGGCTTGGAAATCTGCATTTTAGAAGCCAATCTGGTGATTCTTGAGTTCAGCCAAGTTTAGGAAAGAAAACCTAACTTTACAGTCACAGTCCAGGAATTACTCCAGCTGCACCGCAGGTCTCTGCAGAAGCAGGGAGCCCTCAAAGCTGCAACAGCCGTGTCTAAGTCTGCACAGAAGGATAAGGGCTTAAGGCCACACTTTCCCCCAAACAACTTTCACTTCAGCCAGAGCACTTTGTTTTTATAAACCACTTTCCATATTGGGTTTCTGGGACAGACAGAAAGGCCTCAAACTCAAAGGCCTATGAGGGCCAGGAAAGTAACATAAATGAAGCTGGTCTGTGTGAGACAAGAGGGAGTGGTGGGGACTGTGGCAACACATCTCCCAGGGAAGAGGGTGGCTGCAACTCAACTCCTGCTCGTTGCTGCTCTGCAAGCTGAGCCCAGTGCTGCTGCTGCTGGATCTTCCAAGTTCTTAAGCAAAGCCAGAATCAGTCCATGTCAGATTTTTTGTGCCTGGGCTCTGAGCCAGACTTTTCAGGTTTGAATTCTGGCCAATTACTTAACCTCTTTGGGCATCAGTTTTGTCATCTGCAAAATGGAGATAAATATTCCTGCCAAAATGCACACCCTAATTATAATGAGAAAACATCCGAGAAACCAGACTGAGGCTGCATTCTACAAAACCACAAGCCTGGACTCAAAAAATGTTGATGTTGGGGCTGGCCCGGTGGTGGAGCAGTTAAGTTCGTGCACTCCACTTCAGCGGCCCGGGGTTCGCCAGTTCGGATCCCGGGTGCGGGCTTACGTACCACTCCTCAAGCCATGCTGTGCAGGTGTTCCACACACAAAGTAGAGGAAGATGGGCATGGATGTTAGCTCAGGGCCAATCTTCCTCAGCAAAAAGAGGAGGATTGGTGCCGGATGTTAGCTCAGGGCTAATCTTCCTCCAAAAAAAAAAAAGGTCAATGTTACAAAGGACAAAGAAAGATGTTTCAAATTAAAGGCGATTAACGAGACGTGATAACCCAATGCAACACATGACCTTGAATGGAAAAATCACATCTAGAGAGGACATGATTGGGACGAGAGGGAAAGTGAACACAAACACTCTATTAGGTGATAGTATTGTATCAAATGTCCCGAATTTGGTCATTGAATTAAGGTTATGTAGCAGAATGTCCTTGCTTTTAGGAGTTAGTACTGGATCTCAAGTGGAGTGCAAACTCGCTATCTACTGTTCCTGAGCACAGCAAGGCTGTGACGTGCCTTACGGAGAAAACACCTGTTAGGTAAGTGTCAGTCAGGCACAAGTGACAGTGCTATTGGCAGCGAGTTCCCTGTTAATGAGTCAACCATATATGTTAAGTAAGGTGTCTTTAAACAGAAACAGACCTAAAACAAGCTATGTGTCAATCGGTTGACAAAAATGTAACTAGAGGCTGGCAGGAACCTAACCCCGTATTTCCCTTAGGAGCAGTGGTTCAATATCCACTAATTCAGCGTTCACAGTGATTTTATAGAACAGAACTACTGTGAATAAGAATTGACTATATATATATATACACACACACACACACATATTTCAGTTACTATTCATGCAACTTTTGCATAGTTCTGAAATTTCTTGAAATAAAATCTTGAAAAAATCTGCTCAGAGGCTCACCTGATTGGGGCACCATGAGAAATAGTACCAGGCAGTCGAGACCCAACAGATACAGACACAAGAGGAGGCGTCCCTTGTGAGTATATTTATGTGTTCACACACACACACGCACGCACACACTCGATGCTGAACGGGGAGGGAGGGGTCAAGATGGAAAGGACAGGAGGCATCCAGGTGGCACTGGCACGGGGGAGGAGGAGGGACAAAGGGAGTGTTTGTCCCCGTTCTGGCTCCCACCGGTGGCCTCCTCACAGGAGGTGAACCTGGAGCTGGAAGAACAGGAAGTGCTTATTCTCTTAGAGGAAAGTTTCAAAGTGCAGTAATTTCTCTTAAAAAATGAAGCCTCTTCCCTCCACTCTGCCCTCTGATGAAAACCCAGCCCCGTGTGCAGGCTGTCCTTGAGGCTGGTGCAGGACAAGGTCGTGGGGAAGGGCGTAAGGCCAAAGCTTTGAAGTACCCACACTTGGGAGGGCTTAGGCATAGTGGCTGCCGGGCGTCAGGGGGTGGTCCCCTCTGTGGTCCAGCTGGTCCTGCAAGCGGGCGAACTCGGCCAGCTCGTTTAGCTCCTGGAACTGTCGGTCCGTCTTATGGCTGACCAGTGAGCGGTAGAAGTGGACAGCAAAGACGATAAAGACCAGGCCGAAGGGGACCATGATGGTGGTCGAGGCGATGGCTGCGGCCTGGCCCGGGGTGATGCCGCTGCTGCTGACGTTGGCAGCTGCCCCGTCAGCTGGGGGCTTGCTGGTGGGCCGCGTCTGGCCCGGCTGCTTCTTGAGGGGCAAGAACTTGACCCAGCAGAGCAGCACGACCTCGGCCAGGAAAAGCAGCGTGCCTATGACAGTGGAGAAGGCCCAGGCCAGCTCGATGTGGCGGTGCATGCGCTCGTGCGGCGACTCCTTGACTGAGTTGAGGTTGTGCACGTTGCTCACCGCCTCGATGTTGGGCAGGATGCAGGTGCTGATCATGAGCGCAAACAGGTGCACGGCCACCAGGACCGTGGTGCAGGCGCTGAAGGCGATGAGCAGCCCGGGCGGGTAGTCGTGGTCAGCATCCAGCTGCACCTCCACCATCGCCACCTGGGAGAAGGGGAGAGCGGGCTAAGCATCAGGATGGTCACAGCCCACAGAGCTGCACTCAAATCCTGGCTCTCCTCCCATCAAGCTCTGAGACCTTGGGTAAGTCACTTGGCATCTCTGAGCCTCAGTTTCCATATCTCTATAATGGGGAGAATAAGACCCACCCACTTGAGGCTGAGAAGCGGCTGAAAGTATTGGTGAAGAAAGCAGGCTTGGAGCCCAGGCTGCCTGGATTTGAATCCCAGTTCTGCCACTCACTAGCTGTGTGTCCCTGGGAAAGTCGCTGAACCTCTCTGAACCTCAGCTTTCTTCTTTGTAAAATAGGGATATCATTTAACAATTAAACGAGAGCTCCTGGTACATGGTAAATGCTTCCCAAATAGTAAGCACTACAATTACCACCCAGCCACGTATTACAAACCAACCACCACAAATAGTTAAAATGCTAAGTTTTATGTATATTTTTATGATGATAAAAAAAGTCTGCATTAAAAAAGCAACCACCAACCCATTCCCTGTTGGCCCCCACTCCCATTCCCAAGCAGAGGCTTCTCCTTCACACCCTGCGGTTGGGGGAGAGATGAAGGCCCTCCCAGGTCACACCTAGGCCCTTTCTGAGAACACAGTGCACCAACCAACAAGGAACCAGGTGAGGCTTCCCAGAAGAGAAGGGCTCCAGCCGCCTGTGCGGACAAGCCCTGGGGCCGTCTCCTCCCCCAGTCCCGGCTCTGGGCTCAGGACCCCAGGACTGATGCACTGGCTGCTCCCCAGTTCCCTGAGACCCGTGGATCCAGGGTCACCACATGCATGCTCCGGGCCCACTACCCGCTGCTTCTCACCTGGGCCTTGCGAAATACCCCCATGTGAAGGAGCCAGCTCATCAGATCCGGGCCGGGAGCAGCGGGCAGTGGGCACACTGCCAGGGTCAGCCTGCCGGGGCAGGAAGGACTGAGGCAGCCAGCGCCAACGGCAATACCACTCAGGATAGTGTTTGCTCCGTATGTGCCAGGCTCAGAGCGGGAGGTCTAACGCCAGCCCCACACCGGCCTGCCCTGATCTCTGCTTACTCCTGGGAGGGAAGTGGGCCCCTTCCTTCCCCACCAGCTCTCCTTCTGCCCGTGACGCCTGACCCGGTTCTCTTTCATGTCTTGTACCTCCGCACCCTTCCTAGGGCCCGGAGAGGCAGTGTGGGCAGTGGTTAGGCGCACAGGCTCTGGAGCCAGGCTGCCTGGCTTTGAACCCTGACTCCTCTGCTCTTTATTAGGCTGTGTGACTCTGGCAAGTTCCTTTGACTTGCTGGGCCTCAGTTTCCTCATCTATAAAATGAGAATAATTTTATACATGAGTATACAAGAGAATACATGACTGAGGGTTGTTGTGAGGATTGAGTCAATACACGTAAAACTTAGTGCCTCGCACCGAGTAAACCTTCAGTGAAAGTTCACTTTATTATGATTATTATTCAGTTTAGAAACGCCATCCCCAATCCCGCTGTCTCTATCTCGAATCCTCTGGGGTTTCTACCCTCCTGCTGGAGGGGCACGCCTGGGCTGAGAGAACACCAGGGCCAAACCGGCAGGCCTGGGTTCTGGTGCCGGAACCACCCCTGCGCTTCCCTGTGACCTTGGGTGAGACCCTCCCCTCATATCTGCAAAAGGAGGGGACATGCCGAGATTAAGGTCACAGTGTAGAGCTGATTTGGGGTCCAAGACCTTTGAGAACCTGGTGAAAATAAGGGACACGCTCCTTAGAACACCCAGGCGTATATATTCATAGGTCTTTTCTGACAGTTCCAATGACATCCACAGACTTTGCCTAGGAATTCCCACAAGTGATGATTGTGTAACTTTACAGCCCAGGAGTTTACGAAATGTTTCAAGCTCATATAAATCCGGGGCTGTGCCATTAGGATTTCAACCTCTTTTAAGATCATTCATGGCCTCAAGCCAACGCTGAGAATTCTTAGTATGTTCGGGTGAGGGACACAGGGCGTCAGGGCCGGCCACAGGGCACGGAGAGTTAAGGGCCGCATCCCAAGGCCCCTTGGTCTCTGTCCCCCGGGCTGCCCACACTGGAAAAGGGGGGCAACCCCAGCAGCGCGTGCCTCCTGCCACCTCCCCACCCCCAGCACTTCCTCTTCCTGTTTTGGCCTGCTGCCCCGGAACCTGAAACCAGAGAAGGGACAGGCAGGAGAGCCTGCTGCTTGGCTGCCCCTGCTCCACTGGCTATTTATTCACTCACCGGAAACGTCGGGATCCGTCAGGTGCATCAGGCCCTGAGCTGGCCGCTGGGGGTATATATAGGGGGGGACACATACAGGTAATGCTCCCACCCTGTTCCCTCACCTGGAACCGCTCCCTCTATATAGCCATGAAGAGTAAACTGGCTCCTCTACTTACAAAGCTGGTGACCTTGGACAAGTATTTCAACCACTCTGTGCCACAGCTTCCACATATACAACAAGGGCCTACTTCTTGTGGTTGATATAAGATGAATCAATGCATACAAAGCCCTTAAAACAAGACCTGGCATATAATAAGCTTAATAAAGTGTCAGCGATTATCAGCAACATCATTAGTCTTCTTTTACAAATGAAGAAACTGAGGCTCAGAGAGGGGAGGCTGGCAGTGCCAAAGGCTACACTGCTGCTGAGCGGAGGATCTGAACTCAAGTCCACCTGGCTGGAAAGCTTGTGTGCAAAGGGGGGAACAGTACTTCCCTCACATGGTTGCTACCACAGACTAAATGTCTGTGTCCCCCCAAAACTAACACACTGAAATCCTAACCCCCAGTGTGATGGTGTGATTAGGTCATGAGGGTGAAGCCCTCAAGATTGGATTAGTGCCCTTATCAGAGAGACTCCAGGGAGCTCCCTCGCCTCTCCTGCCATGTGAGGACACAGAGAGTGAACAGCGTCTATGAACCAGGAAGCCCGCCCCTGGATCTTCCAGCCTCCAGCACTGTGAGAAATACATGTCTGCTGTGGGACTGTGGGATTCTGTTAAAGCACCCACATGCACTAAGGCAGTTGCTGAGGAGATGACATGAGGTCTTGACATGTAACTGTTTAACACAGGGCCGGCCCACAGGAGGCACTCAACAAATCTTAGTTAAGAAAAAAAACACGGAGCTTGAAGTGGGAGAGAAATAGCCCCTGGATGCCCTCAGCTCAGGCTGGAGAGAGCAGACCCCATGTGCCCATGTTCCACCCCTTGGGATGGGTGTGGGTCTCGGACCCCCACTCTGGGCCTCACCTGCTCCATTCTGAGGCTGCCCCAGCTGCAAACGTCGGGCACTAGGAGAACTCGAGCCCCAAACCACACCTGGCCAGACGGCCACCTCAGCAGGACTGAAACCACCCCCTTTACACACCATTCGTCACACCCACAGGCTCCAGGGCCAGAAAACATAGCTGCCAACACACACCTGGCCTGGGGACACCAGAACGGGCCAGCCTTCCCTGAGGTCTTGGGCTGGGGGGCTCAGCCTGTGACGCTGGGCCCTCTGAGGACAGGGAAGGGGCCTGCTGCTGTGCTCTGGAAGAAACCCCATCACCCTCGCAGGACCCTACAATTCTGGAACTTCGACCACACAGGCTGGCTGTAGGACCAAGCTCAGCGCCATGGGGCTTCGGAAAGGAATGGTTCAGAATGAGAAGAAAGGAACGGATGGCACGTATCCTGGATCCTGATGAAAAGTGTTCACAGGAATAAAAGCCACTGCTTTTTCCAGAATGCTTCCCGCTTGGGAAATCTCCCCCCGGATATAGAGAGTAAAGTTGGGGGCCTCACGGAATCTGGCAGGCGACTCCCAGGGCCCCAGCTGAGTCCCAGAGAGATCAGATCAGATTGCAAGCAGCCTCGCAAGGTAAATATAGCTGGAGCGCTGGGCCCGTTAACCCAAAATAAAATAAACAGCTCCCAGCCGGCCACGGGCCTCTTTGAACCTGGCCACACGGGTCCTAAAGGGGTAGGAAGGGCAAAAGACTGCCAGCCCCACCTCACGCTTGTCTAAGAACCCCCCCAACAGGGGACTTGGGGATGCCAATTTTCAAGCATGAGCCAAGAAGAGGGTCACGTGATTTTGCAAAGGGTAGGGCCTGGCTGGCTTTGCCAGGCATTTGCCCACCACGCCCGAATGCCAACCACCTCTCCTCACTCCTGCTGGGCTCTACGGAGACCCCGGCCACCTGGCGCCTGCCTGGAAGTCCAGGCCCTTCTGAGGCAGCCCTCCCACGCCCAGCCTGACCCCAGGGCCCACAGCTGGGAGACACAAGTCTCCTTTCCCAAGCCCAGGCTTCTCTGGTTCAGTCTTTAGGAGGGTGGGTGGCTGCAGCCTGGCACACAAGGGCCGCCAAGCCGCAATCACCCAGGGTCACGCAGGGCCGTCTGAGCCTGCCAGCCCATCTCAAATGCAAACCGTCTATTAAGAGGGGATTGAGGCATAGTCCAGAGGTTTACAGACTCTTTGACCACTGCAGTCCAGTACTCCAAAAGTTTCTAGAAATAGATACGCGCACATGCATAAGAGAAACAAAAGCTTCCCCAAATAATATTTATCCTGAAAGCCCACTAATAGCAGCCTATTCTTACAACACTCCATGCATGCTGTTTTTTATTTCATTCCATTCTTGTTTCATTTAAACCAAGACCCAACGCTGGTTGTGACTCACTGAATTTATGTCATAAGCCACTAAGTTGAACCTGCAGCTGGGGGGTTGGGGGGAGAACAAGCCTAGACTTTCTCTTCATCTGCTAATTCTGACTTCGTCAGTTTTGCCTGGAGGACCTTGTGGCTCTGCTGGAGAGAAAGCAGGAAGTCAGACAGCAAAATTCCTGCCCCAGGGAGGATGGCAGACACTAAGCATTTAGGCAAATAAGTATTTTCGGACTGTGATAAGCGACCTTCAATTATGCTCCTCCACTATCGCACTTACCAAACAAACGTGCTCTAAAGACATAATTACAGGTCTGCTTCCACTCTGCTCCACTTCCCTTTGT